ATATATATATATATATTAGTTCGTTGACACACGTGGTTGTCATGGTTTCGTCCGGTTTTTGATACTTCTTGTTCTTAGGGGTCCGTGGGATTTTGCGAAGACTCTTTTCTGGGGTTGTTGGAGATAAGATCGCAAAGTTGTGCGAATATGATTTGAGCTGGCCAGCTTACTTGGTTCAGAGTCTGTGTTGAATATTTCTTAAATTATGGTCTCTGGATCATACGATGTCATTTACATGAAGGCTGAAAGCTCAGCAAGGATACTTGATAGTTGCGGTTGCTTGAACTCTCCCCAAAGTGGTGAAGGGGAGAGTTGACGCTAGATTCACACGGCTCAGGCGCTAGGGGCAAGAGAGGCATTCACTGTCCCGTGGTTCGAGGCCGCCCCGGGTCTGCAAATCGGCCTCGGAACCGGAGAGACACGCCCTCTGGCTGGTAGTCAGGGTCAAAGGTGTTGGCATCACTTGAATGGGGCTGGACGAGTGGCAGCGTGAATATGAATAAAAGATGTCGGACACGCCCACCCTGTCGGCTGGGTCTGGTGGTGCAGACGAGAGGAACTCTTAATCGTCTGCTCTGAATTAGACAATTTGCCCACTTCATTGGGAGAAAGGGGAAAAGTACCGAGTCGCCGGTACCACTTGGTCAGATTGAGGTGCCCCGACGCTCGGTCTGCAACTGAAGAAGAGCATTCTGACATTCGCCTGGGCCTTGGCACACCGACACCGACGTCGGACAAATGAGTAGTCGAGGACAGTGCTGCATTATGAATGGCGTCTCGAGACCAGGCGGCAAATGTTCTCTCGAAAATTTTATTTCACGACAATCGGTCTAATTGTACTTTTTATGAACACGAAAATCCATCTCAAAATTGTGATTGATGTATTTCCATCGTATGGCTAGTTGAAAGTGTGCTAGTGTGCTTCGCACGGACCACAATCACATTCAACGAGAATAATTGGGAGAACAAAGATTATCAGCGCAGGAAGCGGATAGTAATGACCGATTTGGTTTAATAATGAAAATGACTATGAAAATAAGATTGTGATTCGAAATGAGATTGAGGTGATGGATGATA